TCTGTTCTGTTCTGTTCTGTTCTGTTCTGTTCTGTTCTGTTCTGTTCTGCTCTGCTCTGCTCTGCTCTGTTCTATTTGTCACTTCTGCATCTGTTGTTTTCATGCAGGAGGGATTGGATTGGCCAAGATGTTCTTTACATCAGTGGTGGGATTCAAATAATTTAACAACCGGTTCTCTGCCCTAATGACCATCTGGGTAGACGGGGCTCGGTGATCATGTGAGCGTGTGGGCGTGGCCAACTCAATGCCACTCACATCAATGGGCGCTTTGCCTTATGGAATCAGGGTTAACTGGAGAGGCAGTTTCTGTAAGCAGGGCAATAAAGATTACGCTAGAAACAACACCAGAATGTTTCCTTCCTACCTTCCTTACAGGATTAGCCCTGGAAAGTGGGAAAAAACAAAAGGAGATTTCTTCCAACTGCAGGTTCTCCCAACTGCTTAGAAAGTTAACAACCGGTTCTCCTGAATAGGTGCGAACTGGCTGAATCCCACCACTGCTTTACATTCTATTATTATTTAGCGTATGATGAGGACAGAAGACACAATCCCAGTAATCATATACAAAACTTCTATGGTAGTAGGGCAGTCCAGCCCACCTGTCCAATTCAGCTATCCAGGTGATCACCTCTGGTGTTGTTTCATGCAGGTCTTCTAAGGAACCCAAGAAGGCACCTCATGGGCAACCTTGCACAAAAGGTTGAATAGTTTGCATTTCAACACCACAATCGCAACAAGGGGAATCTTCCCACATTTCACTGATATAGGACAGAGGCCAGGGGTGAAATCCTCCCAGTTCGGCCCGGTTCAGCCTGGTTTGGCCTGGTTCAGTCCGGTTTGGCCCGGTTTGGCCAAAGCAGTAGGGAAGATCATCCCTGGTTCTGTAAATTGGTAGTTAAAAAAAGCTTCCAACAATTGCCTGCCTTAGCTGTCAGCTGTGCAATTATTTCACTTTTTAAAGCATTTTTACTACCTATTTCCCCGAAGTGGTACTAAAAAAAATGCTTTAAAACGTGGGGGGGAATGGTTTCAATGATCACGCGGATCAGCTGTGAGCTGCACAATTGTCGGAACCATTTTTGTTCACTTTTTAAAGCAATTTTTCCTGCCAGTTCGAGTGAATAGGCAGGAAAAAAAATGCTTTAAAAAGTGAACAAAAGTTGGCCACACGTCACCCTGTCACATGAACCAAGCTATGCCTGTTTTGACCCCCACCTTGTTCGTTCAGAAACTTAAAGCCAAACAAAGCTTGCAAAGGAATGTTTTTATCAGTCCCGATTATGGCTGGCTGCGAGCCCATAATAAACACAGATAAAAGGCTCTGGCAAAAAAGTCTTCACTCAAACTAATACAAAACAGAATTACATAAATCAAGACACTTATCCAAATGCTTCTTCTCAATGGTTACACACGAACGGAGAACGTTGACTAGAACAGGAACAGAACAGAATGGAACGGAACGTTGACTTCTGCAACCAGGGCGTGGCACCATCAGTCATTTTTATCCGCAGGAGGAGAGATCCTAACGAGCCACAGCTGCTCGTTAACATCTCCTGTGAGCATCCTGAAACAACTCACAGGAGGTTTCTGCCGAGTCACAACACACTGCTATAAGGAGTTAATGTTCAAAGATAGAATTGAAGAAACCATTAACCCAAACATGTAGGCTCCCCATCATATTCCCCTCAGCTGATTTGTTTAGGATTAAAAAAAGTTAGTATTTGATTGCTATTTGGAAAACAATGAGAATCAATTATTCCATGGTCTTTATAGTAGTGAGAATAAGTGGAGGTAAAAGCATCTCAATGAAGGCAACATTATTAAAATATCTAAGCAGCAATTCAACTCTCGACTCAAGTCTGGTGTTTAAGTTCCTTACCATTAAGATAATCACATCAGAAAACAATAGAGACTGGTTTTAGATGCATTCCTCAGTGAAGTCCCATGCATCATTATATATATTGAATGTCTACTGACAGATTCAAAAT